ATTAGATTACATTATATTATCACAGACAGTGCTGGGACCTGTTTTAAGTTGACTGGTGATGTATGTCAGAGCCTGGAGGATGTGACCTCTGCTCTCCCATGTTTACTGTCGAGGCAGAAAGGCGGAAATGACGACAGTTAATTGTCCAAAACAGTCCCTTATTCCTGCAGGTGTTTGCAGGCGATTTCCACGGTGGTCACAAAAAAGAATCTAACTCCATACTAACAGAAACCAACACGAGCATCAGCATCCTTCTTTACGTCCTCGCGTTTGTTGGTTCCTATCACCATAACGACACGCGCGTCTCTCTGCAGGTGACGCTGATGACCGCACAGATAAAACCCGCTGAGAGTCACGTGACGTTACCTGGGCGGGAGTGAGCTGATGGAGTTGAATAAAGGTGGTGTTCCTGAGCGGGGTGTCTTAAACCGACGGGAACAGCAGCACGGACTCCATCATTCAGCCATCAGGATGTCCTCAGCACCACCCGAGCATCGACCTGAGTCAGGTTAGAACATGATATAGGTGAGGTTCCGGCCTGGACTTTCAAAATAATACACTAAAGGTGCCGTTTATGATGTTTTTGGTCATTAAAGAACAAAGTAGACCATGCGCTATGACAGACTGAGTATAATATCGATTGGACTCAATTACAGGCTGATCATATAGTTAATCAATAATTCAGTGCAACGGGAAATTGCAAAAATGTTCAGGTAACTTGTCAAATAGCTTTAACGAAGGAGAGGAATTTAATTATGAAAGTGCATTTCCGGTGTTGGGTGTGGTGAATGTGATGAACTTGACGTTGAACTGCAGAGGCTTCCTGGTGCCTGCAGGGGGCAGCAGAGGAGACGAGGCACCAAACGAACCTAAAGCTGAACGTGTGTAAACATTAACAAATTTATACATAAATGAAAGTGAAATGAAACATTTAAAGGACAAAAGCAGCTCCTATTAACTGAACACCGCGTGGTAAAATCCACTCTGAACAAAAAAGAAATCAGTTCAAACACAATATTTGACTTATTTATTACAGAAAACACAGAATCTTACAGACGATTAAACAGTTACCTCAGGTGTTTTTATTCTTTCTCTTATTTTTCTGCATTACTCCTTAAATATGTTGGTCCTGAACTTAACTGTCTTCCCTTGAAGCTATTTTTGACTTGTTAATGTGAACATTTGCATTTGTTACAGACTGGATTTTAAATGCGTTGTTCCTGTTCTGGGACTGAGCTGCATGAACCTGAATGAAAGTGGAACATGCACATTCTATATGAAGCTGATACTGTCTGCTTTTACAGCCTAAAATACTGCTTCTGTAGTCCAGTCCAGGGTCTCAAACCTGCGGCCTGGGGGCCAGTCGTAGGGAGGATTTGTTTGTTGTTGAGTGCAATGTTTAAAAAGTTCTTTAAAAAGCACAAAATAATTTAATATGAAGGCAATATGAGCCAAGACTACAAACACGCTGAGGGAGCTGGCTGTGTTAGTTCAGTGACAGAGTTCCCTAATTTAGACAAATATGTGGTAAATACCTAAAAGC